CAACGTGAAATTAAAAACCATAAACAAGATGAAATTGCGATCGCTGCGTTTTGAAGCTTGCGATTTTCCATGCTTTGTTATGCTTATCATAATTCACAGTGAATAGTGCAATGTGTCTGTCAGGTTGAAATGTGCTCCCCCATAGTCTAACCCGAAGAAGTCGATTAAGCGGAATATGCACTGGAAGAGTTCAAGGGTGGGGTTTCTTCTCGAAATTTCTTCCACATATTCTACTGCAGTACCAGTAGTAGTATCATACTTCCGAAAGACCAGCGATGGCTGGAGGCGAATTCGTAATTTCGAGCGTCGGAAAACTGCCGTACACACAACAAGATGTCTCATGTGGAACATGTCATCGAAATTCCGAGGAGGTCTGGTTAATTTTTGACCGCTGTGAGGAACTGCCCATCACATTCTTTTACGGAATCCAACGACACCACTCACAAATGTGGTCAAAATCTAGCAGCAGTCGTTGACGTTTTAGTTACTGTTGTATTCAGGCAGCATAAGCGGCTGTCACTGGCGTACTCGGGGCTGTAAGATCCTTGACTTGAATCTATTCCACGCCGCTGAAAATTCCCTGGCGAGCTGTTTTATCGATTTGTGGTTCAATAACAATTTCAGTTAAAGGAGACCTTACGCAATTTCCTTCCTCAGGCGCTCCCTCCTCTGTTTTGGTTTCCGGTGTTAGTAACTAAACACAATCTCTTGATTCCAGTTTCTCTCTCTTTTCCTCTATTGTTCATTTCATTGATTTGGGTAACAAAATGTGAAAAAATCAGATATAGCACAACCGCAAAACCTAATTTGGAAATTTGTTTTATCAAATTGTTACTGATCTATGCAGCAATCCAAGGTCATTGAAAATTCGTTGGCCGAATAAACATCATGCCTGAGATTTGGCAAAACCTGTAACTTTATCCACCAGGTAAGCCCACTCATGGACACAGTCATATGGAGCACTGTTTGATGGGACCCTCGAGAACACAATCCGTCATAATCTTCAAACTAGCGGTTCTAATTACTCATCCACTACTGATTCTTGCCTCACAGCTTCCAATCAACCGTGGAAGGACGGAGTGACAAATAACACTGACACCCATGATTATGCAACTGACTACCAACAGGCATGCTTAGTTGACAGAAGACTTTATGCACCAAATATATATGTAAACGCATATATAAATTTAAGGAAAGGGGTTGATGCTATCAAGGCTATGACTAGTACAGTAAAAAGGTTTTGATTGCAGAAATTGAAATGTCAGAGCACAATAGAAAAAAAAACAATCCGTATCTACACACGTTTCTGGCTTCTAACTGCTGCAAAATAGGTCGGTAATGACAATGTTTTCCACATGTGTTATCAGTACTACTCAACTATTGAGCACTAAGTGAACAAGCATCATTGTTGAACTGACCTTAAGTAAAAAATGTTCAAAAAATATCCAAAATTTATAATTAGAATTGTGAATATAATTCAAAGTATGGTTCCGGGATTCGGACAATACGGATCTTCCAAAATAAAACAACTCGAATTGTACGCACTTCGTATTGAATGCATTAACAGTTTACGATAATGTTTTCGAGGTTATTTTCATATATGCATTAAAAAAATCAAAACACCTTCAAAATCAATGAAGCATAATACACCAGAATGACCCGAATGCAATGAGTTCTAAAACATTTTAATCATGGAAGGAATAATGGATCGTAAATAGGATTTTATCTTTAGGTTAACCATAGTCCCCGGCAGCTTCATCGAATAACTGTTCAATCGACCAATGCCTGCTCAGATATCAAGAATTCAAACATCTGTTCGATACAACATGGAGTGAACTATAGGCAAAATCCGTGAACGTATCAACTTTATGCTGAACAGGGATAGAATAAAATTTAATTTAAATTGCGATGCTTCGAAGAAGTCATCTTTTTCGGGTTTCTTCTCCAGTACTGAACCCTAAACAAGCTACTCACGCATGTGTGATTTGCCGGTCAGGACCGTATCGTTACCCTGTGTCGATGAAACAAAGAATAAGTGCGAACATACAAACAAACGATCTGCCGACGTAAGTCAACAGGGGAGCAGATGATCACACGTACCACAAGATCGGCAAGAGGTGATTCGATTGAATGATGATTGAACCATCCAGTTACTAAACAGACCATTTGAGAAATCAGCAAGCTAGGTACAGAAAATTTATTGTTCAGTCAATTTGCTCTCTTCTGCCATTAGGCAATGTCTTTATTTTTTGCATTTGACACTAGTTCACTCTGCTCAAGTCAATTTCTCGAGCGTGTACTCTTTTTCTTTCAGTTTCATCCGGTTAGAGATGTGGTGAACTGGACCCAAACTTCGAAACGACTGGATAAAAACAGAACTCACTTTGGGTGACAGTAATATGTGGTTACTGTTTTAGGTTTCAGGTTACAACCTACCCAAAATCTTAATCGAATTCACTGTGAGTCTGATCTATACCGATCGATCATCGGTGTGATAGGCGTAAAAACAAACGGTGCATCGGGTAAGTTGGAGTTCGAAATAGAAAAGAAGTACACTGAGAACGGGGTAGAGTAATTATGAAAGATATTGATTTGGGCAGAACATTGACCAGCACTTAAAATTTTGACCTCTTGAGGTCAGCCAATACTGGAGACGCACGGAAATTCAAACGCTCACTTGGGCTTACACCTACTCTCTTAGTAAGAGCCTCGTACATTGAGAAAAGACGGATGTTATTGTTTCAAAATAGCTACGGTGTAATGAGTCTTTGAAAGAAAAGAAAATAAGATTACTAATTGGCGGCATAAAAATAAACGGTTTTACGATTCCATATCATAGCGTGAGGGACTGAATATTGTTGAATTACATAGGTTATCAGAGAAGTCCTGATAATTTAGATGACTTTAGTAAAATAACTCAATCAATTTGAGATTTAATGACAGTTTTTGATTCTCAAATGTGTATCCTTAATATACTAACCTGGATTACTTTAAAATGGAAGAAGAGAGGGAAGGCATGTCTAAGATTGGCTTAATACTGAAATGTAGATCAACAGCTAACTTACTTGTACTTTGCATTTACGGACATTTTTTTCAATTTTAAATAAACAAATAAATAAACAACAAATTGAGGGTGTGATCCCCCAAAACAGGGCTTATCCTACCTCTTTGTTGCCCAGTTGCATCACGTCCGAAAAACGAAACGCTTTGATGCTATTCGTGACAACCGATTGCAGAAGTTTTTCACCGTGCACAATAATACTGAAATGTGAACGAACCAGGGCGACAAAGTGAATGGACGCGAGCAATGCGGCATGAAAATGAAGCAATTCGAATTTGAGGCTCAGAGATTTCCGATCTTGCAAGAACAAGCCACAAAGCATCCAATAAACACATATGTAGAGGTTATTTCGTTCACACCTGAACTGCGAAGGTCTAACTAGCTTCCCTATTCATTATTTAATGTAGACTCCTAATCTTTATCCTGCCAGCACCTTGAAAGTGTTTTCGACATATTCTGTGAATGAGATAGCCATAGTTCTCTGTCGGTGTTTTGGCTTTACCAACCAAGATACCCAAAAATATATCTGAGTGAAATGTGGAGTCATGTGTTATTTGATAGATGTAGGGTTGTAGACGAGTTTGCGTGCGGTTCAATTATTCATACTCTGAGCGTTTTCGAAATCAAAATACACTAAATGTAAACATTTTATTCATCTCTTTATTCTTCCATTCAAATGGATAGTCAGTCAGCCATGATAGACAGCAGCCAAAACCGAGACACGGAAGTGCCGGATTGTAATGGTTGTAAAACGCTGAAACAGAAACGTGAAATTGTGGTATCTGAGTGAAGATTTCGTATCCTTAGTCGCATGCCGACGGTGCCTGTCCCACAAAATTCCCCTTCCTCGGTGTGCTGGCAAGAAAGATTTAACTTCAAACTTGTATACTGATTACATTAAATGCTATCGCAAACAAGCATCCATTCAACCTTGAGCCTCTCGACTCTCTCTCTTTCTGCCACGGCATTTGGTGATCTTCCGAGTACGTGCCTGCTCGCCTCCATCCCTGCAGTACACTGGGCTGCATTCAACCAAAGTCAAATGTTTATATTACTTAAGTTTATACTTATAGATGACTGGTGTCGTACGTCGCGGAAGGAGTCATTTGCAACAACTGCCTTATAGTGCTTTCCGGATTTGGCGATAGTTCTACCGAATGGTAGCAGTCAATAATATGCTTTTCTTCCTCGGTTATTTAGTACATGGTTATTCAAACGTTTGGTGCATAATCCATCACGTTTGAGATATGAATTTTATCCATGCGGTTTTCACTAACGCAGTTCCCCTTAACATCTTTTGTTTGATGANCATTTTCTTCGGTTCTGATCACAGTAAAAACAGACTCTCAAGTCACCTGGAAAGCGAAGCTGCCTGGTGTGGGTGTGTGGTACATAACTACGGAATAGTCAACTTAGGCCGTTGAGGAAGTTGGACAAGGTTCCTTATGAAGTGCCTTGACGGTCTTGATTGTTTGAGAGGGAAACTCTCATTTGCCTGCGCGTAAATAGCTCACGTGCGGATGGATGATCATAATACGCACCAGGAATTTGGCATACTGATACAGTCTGGAGATTTTGAGGTGAAACGATTCGTCACCTGAAAAATTTCTAACTTAGTTTCGAGCAGATCTACAGTACTTGACCAAAAGCGGGAAACATAACCCGAAAGGAAATGATATGCTAGACATTTGTATACTCATCCGTATATCGATCGTCTATTGAACTAATCAACATCGCATGAACGCGCTCGAATTCGGCGCCAAAACCAAAGCTGTACTTTCTCGTAAGATCCGAGGACCTGTACGTGAATCAGTGATGTCACACGGTGCCAGGAAAACCAAAAGCAACATGCTAAAACATGCACGGGGATGAAAAATGAAACGAATCTTCGGTCCGGGTAAAAAAAATACACCGCATCAAATGAAGAGATGCAGACACGTCAATCAATCACTGACCGATCATAAGCACAACTGGACTTTCCAACTGTGGTGTCCATATCATCCCCGACAAGCCACGTATAACTGCTATCCGTGACAAACCTCAAATTTCGTTTGGCCTTTTTTGAAAGATAAGAACAACCGGCATTCATGTCACCGAGTATCATGATGTTCTATACAAAAAGAGAATATTTGAGAGNNNNTTTGAGAGATGTTTTTAGGTTATGGAGAGCAGAAAACACGAACTAAAAGTCAAAGAGGGGAAACAAGTCAAAGTAAAAAATGATCGTAAACACATACAGCGTGCAAACATTCAGCAGTTGAAAGTATACATACATACACACATACATACATACATACATACATACATACATACATACATACATACATACATACATACATACATACATACA